AGACTACAATGCTGGCTGTTCTGACTCACAGACTGTAAGTACGTTTTTTATATATAAAGAATTTGCCACTGACGATTCAAACGTGAGTTTTGAGAAGTGTAGAGTAGCGCTTGTTGTTTGTCATTTCTCCGATCACAAATGCAGACATTGTTTTATGTTATGCGGAGCGATACGCAACCCAACGCATAAAAAGACAGTATAAGTCATTATAATCCGTAATTATGTTATATATACACACTGGATAGCTGGCCAATCAGAGCACACCTCGCTTTTCAGAACGATGAGCTTTGTAAAAATCGACGCGTTTCAGAAAGGCGGGGCATAGAGGAGAAACAATAATGTACAGTATGTGGAAAATAATGTGTTTTTTTAACCTTAAACCGCATAAACACATTTAATTACACCAAATACACAAAATAATGTTCTTTTTAGCAACATCATATGACCCCTTTAACACAGCACATATGTGACAGGAACACAGTATGACAAAAGAGCGTCACATGATCCTGAAAGCACATTGAGTGTAAGGTCATGTGTTGAGTTTTGAGTGTGTATCACAGCTGCCCGTGTGTGTTTGGAGGAACGGGGCAGCAGGAGGACGTGTGTGTGATATGATAATCTTCTGTAGATTAACACTAGAGGCATGACACTACAGTTGTGCGCTAGCAGCATGATACGAGAGAGAGCTGAGCAGAGGGATAAATCCAACTGTCAGTGCCTTTCTGTAGTGCAGACGCACTGAAACAGACACAAATGTGGTGGGGCTGCTAACCAAAAGGGCCAGGGTTCAAACCCCAGAGCGGACAATAGAGTCTCGCTGGTCACTAAAGCCTACTTACACCAGGTGGACATCTCCATTACATTATATATAAAAATGCTAATATTATTCATTATTAAAAATTACATTAAAACTTGAAAAGTCAACTTGTTTGTCTTTATAAAACCTACATATTGAAACACATCTGACAAACATTGGTGAACATGTTCTGATGAATAATACTACCAAACATCTCCTAACGCAATAACCATGTGCTAGTGATTTTACTGTGGTTTTGGGATGTTGTTGCTTTACAAAACGCTTAAAATTCCCTTAACGTAGAGATATGTATCGGGGGTAAAATCCACAAGATTGAAGATCAACTTGATGTTTATTTCTAAATATCAAAAGATTATGTTAACATTCATTCATTGTGGAACAAAATGTAGGAATATTTTTCATTCCCGTTTAATAGCATGAAATATCTTGATGGATAACAACATCCAAACCAGAAAGAACCAGAAAGATAAACCAGAAAGACACTAGTGAAAAAGAAGCACACTCTAATATAAAACAATATAGCAGGTCCCACTTTTTTTTAATATAGGTGTCTTTAAATACTAGTATGTATTTAATAATAATAATAAAAAAATTAATTGTTAGGCACACTGTACTTATTGTGTTCATGTTTAATTGCAAAACACTTTTTAAATTTAAATTAAATGCAAGTACATAGTAGTTAAGGACACTTAATATAAAGTGGGGCCTATAGTATATTATATAATAATATAGTATTATTTTAAATAAGTATATTAATGTAATGTTTTCAGACCATTTTTGCATGTTAATTGCAATTAAATGAAAATGTATTGCAAATGCAAATTTCTATTAAATGCATGGCTGACCTTTAGAGTGCTTTTCGACACAATTAGGATTTCATAATTACTTCTATTGTCTTTGAAATATGGTTAAAATGTACTGCTGAATGCACTGACAAACCTTTATGATAAACTAAAATATAATTGAATGTAATTTCTATTGAATCTTGTATGTCATGTATTTAAATATATTTGTAATTGCACATTTGTAATTATGAAGTTGCCATTTAGCACGTTATATTAACATTAAATATATAAATATTTGTCGCATTAATATTTGTGCATTTAATGTTAATATATTAACATTAAATGAACTGTTGAATAACACACTACAGTTAAAATTATAATCAAGTACTTTACATGTGCTTTAGTATGTTAGTCAACACATCGAAATAAATGTATTTCTTTAAAGCATGATAAAAAATTATTAAAACATAATTATTTAAAATGTACTTGAAAGTCAACATTTTGATTTGCCATGGAAGTCATGGAAGAGAACTCTCTTTGAGTACACTTTTGTAACCTTATATTATCTGCAAGTTCATATTTTTAAACACACTTTTAAGATTTGAAGTACACTACAAGTGCACATTAAATGCAATTAAGTAAACACAAAAATAAATAAATACATTTAAAAAATATCTATAAATGATCATTTTAAAAATCCTATACCAAGTAATATAGTTCATTACTTTAGATTACATCATAGAGATTCATGCTTGGTGCAATAATAATGTTTGTGATAAGAATATTGGTGATAAACAGATAATATCTGTGCAATGAGGTGTGTGTGTATCATACAGCTATTTTGCAATAGTAACTTAATGTCTCTTTTCTCCCATGCTCTCACTGCCTATGATAAGGTCAATAAAGGTGACACATTATGTCTTCACTCAGTAGTTCGGCTTTACTGCACATACACGGCTTTTTTCCCTTGTGTTGCCTGGATATCATCACATCTTGTGTGTAAAGAATAGCACGGACTATATACAAGCAGCCCTTCTACACAGAGGAAAAAATAGACGGCCTTAAGTTAACCCGGCCCCTTTCCTGTGTTTTAGACAAAACAACCTTCCCAGCCTCTCCTCCACCCCTCCCTCTAAATCTGCCCATACCGAAGGGTGGGGAAACTGCGCAGACGCCGTCCTTCTCCATATAAACCACCACTTTTACTTTGAGGTTGTTGAGGTTTACAGATGAATGTCTCTCTTTGTAGCTGCTGTCAATCATCTAGTATCCATGGAGACCGATGCTACAGGCAGGAAGCTATCAGCATTGGCTGAAGCTGCGACTGCATCCGTCTCTCATATGAAAGCCGTATGTTCAGATGTGGGTGGTGTGGACGCGATTAGCAACACCCAATCACTATGTTTATTCAACGGACAATGCCTTGATTATTTACACTGTCTGGCTTTATTTATCGCAGGATTCACAAATAGATTAGGGGAAACACAATTGTGTGAACAATGTAGGAAAACACACTTTCCAATGTTATTCTAGACTGGGGAAAGGGAGTTTATACGGTGGTTGACCGATATGAGTTTTAAAACAGCGGATGCCAAAACCGATATCTATAGAGCGGGACAGACGATGAATCTTAGATAGAATCTACAAAGCTTTTTGTATTTTCTGGGCTGTTTTTCCAAGGAAAAGCTGTGGTATGGATTTAAATATGGTAAAAACATGTGATTACTACACTTCCATTGCTTATGACTTGTATTTGCCATCGATATAAGTGTGGGTTTATTAAAACATTTGGGGTCAGTAAGATTTTTTTTTTTTTTTTTATTAATACAGTGATGCATTAATTTAATCAAAAGCGACAGTAAAGACATTTATAATGTTACGTTAATAATCATGTTACTTGAGCATCAGATCAACATATTAGACTGAAGGATCATGTGACACTGAAGACTGGAGTAATGATGCTGAAAATTCAGTTTTGCATACAAAAAATCTATTATATTTTTAAATATATGTACAAATAGAAAATTGTTATTTTAAATGGTAATAATATTTCACAAAATTGCTGTCTTTGTTGAATTTATGATCAAATAAATGCAGCCTTGGTGAGAGACTTCGTTCAAAAATATTTAAAAAAAAATTACCAACACCAAACCTGGGAGGAGTGTACAGTATATATAATAGAATTTATTGATCCTAAATTAGATGTGAATTTTTAATTTGTGGGAATTAAAGGAATTATTTTACACAATATTTACTCAGAAAAGAGAATCAATCTGTTGTAGTTTGCGTGAACAAAATGTTATTTATTTATTTATTTACTTTATGTTTTGTTTCATTCGTGTTTCATTTGTAACCGCTGTCACAAATTAATGAATCGGAATCATGACCAAAACATAGCTATCTCCATAAAATATTGGATTTCTTAAATCTGAAACCATTTGGGTATGCAGGGGAGTATTTATTTATTATTATGCTTTATTTACTCTTTTACATATTTACGCTATATTACATTTTCTTTTTTTTCTTAAATATACATTGTTCACTGACAGCACTAAACGGCCAATAATCGACTTGGCCAATCTAGCCTATTGCTAGTTTTTTGTGACAAAGACACATCCTCACTGAATGACCGCTGTGTCATGTCCAATCAAACCTTCACACTGACAGAAGGACAACCTAAAACAGCAATTCAGTGCCTGTCTGAAAAAGCCATCTAACACTGAGTAAAGCAGACAAGAAAAACCTGCCAAATGAAGACGACTCATCCATTCAGTCCATTCAGCCTTAACATTTGGAGGGATTCCTGGAATTCACTGCATTAAAGCGAATGTTAATGGTTGAGCGTCAGTTACTGTAAGCGTGGTTCACCTGTAGGCGTCCGTCCAGCGTCCTCTGGATGGTCACACACTTGCTGGGATGGACTCCGTTGGTGGTGATGGCGGTGATGAGGGAGTCCAGCTCGTCCTTCTTCTCCTTCAGTTTCTTGACCAGGCTCTCGATGGCACGCTTGGCGAAGCCCTCGTTTTCGCCGCCCTGCCTGTGGCACATGAGGCTGTGCACGATACTGAGGCAGGCATCATTACTGTTGGGAGAGTTCACGGACATCCTGCTGCTCTGACAGATGGGAAAACAGAACAGCAGCATCAACACACGACACTTACACGCTGCATCTAGTGTGCCAACACACTGTCAGTGCCGTAGTAATGCTGCATGGACATTAGTGCTAGAACCGCTCAATATATCATAGCTATAATTATGCTCAGTTTCCTAAAATAGTTCACCCACAAAGGAAAATTCTGACATTAATTACTCACCCTCATGTCGTTCCAAACCCGTAAGACCTTCGTTCATCTTTGGAACACAAATTAAGATATTTTTGATGAAATCCGAGAGCCTGCATAGACAGCAATGCAACTGACACATTCAAGGCCCAGAAAGGTAGTAAGGACATCGTTAAAATAGTCCATGTGTCATCAGTGGTTCAACTGTAGTAAATGAAGCTACGAGAATACGTTTCGTGCACAAAGAAAACAAAAATATATCAACTTTATTCAACAATTTCTTCTCTTCCGTGTCAGTCTTTGAACCACTGATGACACATGGGCTATTTTAACAATGTCCTTACTACCTTTCTGTGCCTTGAAAGCATTTCTGTCTATGCAGGCTCTCGGATTTCATCAAAAATATCTTAATTTGTGTTCTGATGATGAACGAAGGTCTTATGGGTTTGGAACGACATGAGGATGAGTAATTAATGACAGAATTTTCATTTTTGGGTGAACTATCCCTTTAACTGTGCTTTTTAATTCCTTTTCCTGGATGTCAAAATGATGCTTTGTCATTTTGTATTGTTGTATTACATTTTGTATAAAAATGTCAGGCTTGTGGCAGTTTGATCAAATAATGAGTCTAAAAAAGATCATTTGTCACACTGGGAATGGAAGTTAAGTGCGTTGGATTATGGGATACAGTATTCCATACGGTGTGCTTTGTCATATTACTGCACATTGTCTGCTCCATGTATACAAAAACTGCATATTTGCACAGCATGCATACAAAATACTGTGGAAATAGTAAGAGTAGTAAATTAGCATGCAATTCCAAATATTCCAAATGTTTAAAAAAGCCAAAAAGCAGTAACATTTAGAGTAAGGAGTCAGCCAACAAATGGTTTATGCTGCCTTCAAGTTCATCTGGGAAACTCATACTTCCAAGTCGGGCATTTGCTGTTATGAATTTGCATTTAAGATGTAGCCTAAACAAAAAGCAATTGTGAACAAAAAGTATATCTGAATTCACATTGATAAAACGACTGAAATACAGCATGTAAAATCAAAGTAACTTGCATTACTCCCTTGCATTATTCCCTGCAGAATTGCTATCCTCTCACTGATCTCTATAGGTTACAGACAGGCCTATGATATCTATGTTATAGATCAGTGTTTCCACAATGTTCCCCTTGCAACATCACAACTCGGCAACTCATGTTTTATCAAGAAATGTGAATTTTGCACTCGTAAATATGACTTTGCTTGGTCAGAACTTGTAATTAGGACATTTCCGACTTCACTTGAAGGCCACATACTCCCAGTTTTCCACACACAATAAAGTGAGATAGGAAAAAAACTGCATATGCTGCAAGTGGCCGAGGTGGTTTATACAGCAGTGATGAGCTTGAATTTGTATCCTGTACATAAGAAGCAGAAATGTCATGTTTTGGTGATCTTTGCATGAGATGTTGCAAGTGCAAAAGTGCAAGATTTCTAGAGTGCAGTGGTAATTGAGAGCTGGTGGAGCGCTGACGGATCCTGACACTTCAGATCTCTGAGCATCATCAACTCTAATCTGGGGGGAGCGTCTCTGAGACCCTTATTATCAGATTCAGCGATGCTCTCCATGTCTGCGCAAGTGGCCCTTGAGGCAGAGCACCGGAGGAACAACGTTTAAGACGCAGACTTTCATTAACAGATTTAACATGCAATATTGTATATATTAGGCTACATGAAATAATAATAGCCTAACATTAGAAAGCCTAATTCAATAGAAAGCCCTAATGTTTAAACTACACAATACCTCATCCAACACATTCCCAGCGTACTGTAGGATAATATTACAGCTCATAAAAGGTCATGCAAAGTTAAAGCCAAACTGTTGGCTGCTCTGCAGGCAAACAAACACAGCGGTCACATGACGTCATCGAGTCCGCCGTCTAAACGCTTCACGCGCTCCGGCTGCATACGAGCAAGTTAAGGTGGCATGCAAACCAACTAACTAACTAGTCGGGTCAATACAATCAAGGCGAACTGTTGAATGAACAGCCTCCTGCTCGCGAACTTGCTGTGAGAGGGTGGACATGTCGGCGTCTCGAGACAGTATTCAAACGATAGGCAGTTCCGAAATATTTCAAAGCTCAGACAAGGGCAAAGATTAGTTATTACGACACGGCCAGACGCAATATGCTTCTTAACGAGCGAAATGTATCGCAGAATCCGCTCGGTTTCTGATACGGTCTCGAACGGTGCAACGTGCACCTAAAGATGAATAAAACAGACGCACAAAAGATGTCAAAATACTCACACATCGGTCGTATTGTTGGAGAATAGCGAAACGCTGTCTTCTGGACAAGGACGGAGAGGTAGTAAGTCGTGCCCCCTTCCCCCTCCAGCATCTAATCTGAGTGTATCGGAGTCGATAGCGGACTATCAGGCTCGCTGTCTCCGCGTCCTGGCCGCTCGCTACAATCACAAAAGCGGGTAGACATTGTGCGCTGAGCGTCTCGCCCGGCTCCAGCCAATAGGAGGGCGAGTCTCAAAAGGACGGCGTCGCTCAGCCAATCACGACGCGGCTCTCACGGCTGGGCCCCCGGCCCAAGCTCTGTCTGGGTCGCGTCTGGACTGACATATCGGCGCGACTGTTTTTTTAAGGTGGCGCCGCTGAGGTTACTCCGCCCCGTATCGGCTCACCCCGCCCCATTCATCCCTCCTCAGCTTCCATCGATGATTGAAATTTACAACACAGGTTTATTAACACAGGTTAATAAGAAAATGTATACTTTTATTTGGAAGAATAGGGCACAATACTTAAATAGCGGTATATTAGGCAATTTATTTCATCAAGGTGGTTTAAATGCTATTGACTTTGAAGTTTCTAATACTATTTTTAAAATTAAATAGATTCAGAATGATATTAAAACTAATAAAAAATGGTGGTTCAGACACACTCTCTGTTTAAATCTAGATTAAAGACACATCTCTTTGGTCA